CTGTCTTTGCCATAGGACCTACAATTTCGTTCGTATCTTGTGATTGTGGATCACTCACTAAATATACTTTTTTCTCTTTACAAATGTAAATATTTGCATTGTTATAGTTAACTTGCATTGTAATATAATAATATTATCCGAGAAAAACTGCCAAACGAAATTAAAAAAGTGTGGAAAAGATTGGGCTTTTCTTCAGACAACGTGAGTGCGTGTTGATGAGGAGGAGAATTGGAGGAAATTAGTGGAATTTTAAACCCACATTAGTATTTAATATATTTTTCTACAGTACCTATTTTACTGCACGTAGGTCCAATGTAGCCAGTCTTATCGCAATCACAAGTAAAACTGCCAGTTTTTGGGTTTGATTGACAAATTCCTCCGTGGTGGCATGGTTTCGTAATACAAGGATCTAAGTTTTAAAAAATATACAACTAAAATAATGGACGCAACTGATCAGTCGAAATTGATCACAGCCTTCAAAGTATCATTTCATCGTTCGCTTGCGTGCAAGTTATAATACAAAAAGCATTAAATTCGATCGAATACATACAAGATAATTCGACGCCTGTTTCAAACGTCGAATTTTGCATGCATCGAATTCAATTCTGCTCGAGTGTTGTCTGAAATGACGGAAAGCTTGGGGCATTATATTTATATATATATATATATATATATATATATATATATATATATATATATATATATATATATATATATATATATAATATATATATATATATATAACTCGCTTGGTTGTTAGAGCGAAAACATGTACAGTGCTCGATGCGGGAAATTCGCAGAGCTTAATATATTGTTCAAAATGAAAAAATTAAAAATAAAAAAATTTAAAAATTTAATGTGCTGCTACTTAAGTTTTACGTATTACCGATCGTCAGACAGCAATGGATTATAGTGCACTAAGCTACTGTGCTAATTACATAAGTTCAGTCTCAAAGCCTACTAATTAAAGCTATCGAGTTTGCAAAGAATTTTACTGACAAACCGCAAAAAGATGAGAATATTATGATGTAGGGTAGAAAATCCCTCCTCTTGGACGGTGACACTGCATGGACTAAGAGAGCGAGCGACAATTTGTTTGACGTTACAATGGGGCCGAAATATGTGAGCTCGTTGGCCTGTACATGCTGAACAAATTGTCAGAGAAGACCGTGATTAAAGGAAACATAGGGCTATATCGCGACGAAGGCCTGGCTGCATATGAAAACATCTCGGGACCACAAGCCGAAAGAATTAAGAAAAACATCGCGAAACAATTCAAAGATGAAGGACTGTCGATAACGATCAAAACAAACCTAAAGATCGTGAATTTCCTCGACAACACTCTCAACCTTGACAAAGATACATTCTGCCCGTGCAATGCAAAACCGTGCATTGAAGAAGCGTTACACGCTAGCGGGTTCAACCACCGAATGTCCTATGAAACTAGCACAAATAGCAACAGAAGGCACCGAAAGCGGAAAATCATCTGGTATAACCAGCCTTTTAACAAATGCCTTAAGACCATCATCGGAAAAGTGAAATCGGTAATACGTGAAACTATATGTGTGTGTATATATATATATATATATATATATATATATATATATATATATATATATATATATATATATATATATATATATATATATATATATATACGACATGTAGTACGCATGCGTATTCGAGATATGACTTAGTTTGTCACTTTTATAATATTTGTGTGTCCCACATCCAAATCCTACTTTGTCGTCATATATATATATATATATATATATATATATATATATATATATATATATATATATATATATATATATATATATATATATATATATATATATATATATATATATATATATATATATATATATATACATATATATATATATATATATATATATATATATATATATATATATATATTTAAGATGAAAATGTTCTAGAGTGTGTATTATATAATTTCCATCACACTCTAAAACATTTTCATCTTAACATATTACGGAGTGTACAATTACACAACTTAAAATTTAATGTGCCGCTACTTAAGTTTGTTGAAGGGTTTGACTCCTGGTTTATTCACTTATTTTTATTCATCCAGATTATATTTACAAAATATTTTAAATATTTTGTCTAACGTTTTGGTTTCCTTTACGCAAACCATTACGCAGCTGACGAAAGATGAATAATAGTACAGTAGCTATTTAGTAATCAATCATTGAGTCTTTGAAAATAGTTTCCGAATAGGAAACTGAAAGGTTGGACAAAATAAAACATGTTGTAAATAAAATCTACAAAAATGGACAATAAAAATAAAAGCGATTAAGGTGTTCAACATTATTATTTTTTTTCAATTGTCTCCAATTTTTTGCATTGCATGATAATGTGCTTCATTCTCCGAGTTATTACTTCGACAATCCTTGCTGCCAGACACTAATAATCAGTATACAATCAGTTTATTGTTATATTTAACAAAGTACATAATAATTAGGTTTAGTCGTTGAATATCTGTCTGGCAACTAATTATTAAGTATATAACAATATAAAATGAGAAATGATGCATGGCATGTAAAGAAATGCGCAATTCATAACTATTAGCCTAAATTTGAAATAGAATTTTGCGGCGAATTGATTAATTTTTGAGTAAAATTGTTAATTGTAAGAAGTTCATTTTGCTATAAAACCTTGTTGCCAGTTCATATATATTTAAACAACATGTTGGCTGCAGTTTTCAAGCTTATTTTTTGTTTAAAATATTTTGTTATTCACATGAATGATTTCAATCCATATACTCACAATTTTGGATTGAAGAAGAACTGGGTAATCTTACCGGCAAATTGGCAGTAGAAACCAACATAGCCTTTCAAGCAGTCACACCTGTATTTTCCAATATCGTCCACCTGAATACATGTTCCATTCTCACATGGTTTCTCAGTTACACATGGACCTTAAATGTGATATTTAATGTAATGAATTGTTTTATTAGATTTTGAACCGATTTTATCAATTAACAAAATTATGGAATTAAAATTAACTATAAGGCACTTCCGGATCCGGATCTTCATCAGTGCTAATAATATGTGACTTGTTCAATTCACTCGCCTTTTCATATATAATTGATATATATCAATCTTCTAATTATTTTTTCTCAAACACATAAAAGATCGAAGATACAAATTTAAATAGGCCTAGCTAAATATCCTTACTTCATCCTTATTTCACCTTCGATGATGACGCTCATTATTATATATTTAAAAAAAATTATATTTCATATATTTACCCTTACAAAAATTTCACATAACATTTCATATATGGAAATTTCATATATGAAATCGTTATATGGAATTGAAACAAATTTCATATATGAAATATTTCATATATGAAATATTTCATATATGAAATATTTCATATATGAAATTTTCATATATGAAATTGTTTCAATTCCACATAAAGATTTCATATATGAAATATTTCCTATTTGAAATATTTCCTATATGAAATTTTCATATATGAAATTGTTTCAATTCCACATAAAGATTTCATATATGAAATATTTGATATATGAAATTTTCATATATGAAATTGTTTCAATTCCACATATAAAGATTTCATATATGAAATATTTCATATATGAAATTTTCATATATGAAACTGTTTCAATTCCACATAAAGATTTCATATATCAAATATTTCATATATGAAATTCCACATTAAGACTTCATGTATGAAATTCTCACATGTTTCAAATGTTCAAATATTAAGTTTTATGCATTGAAATTAAGCGAGTCAGGGGAAGTTTATGCGATCCCATTTACCCGAGATTAAACAAAGCGAGCAATGGCTTTGAGGTATTGAAATAAGTCCTTATGAAACCAGACAAGCACATGCTAACAACAGACTAAATATAGATCAATGCAAAAAAACAGATTCGCACGAATTAGTGCTCAACAATTACATTTTGCCCATTTGATATTTCTACAGAACAAAATCAAAAGCCAGGGGATCATGTTATTTTTCCGAATCATTAACAAATGACTTATTTCAATATCTCAAAATCATTTTACGCTCGTTTAATCTTGTGTAAGCGGGATCATATGAACTGCCCCTAGAAAAATCTACCTAAATAAGAAAGTTACGTGCTATGCAGGTTTGATATACCACATCAGACACTAGTTTATTCGAAATATACAAATTACAAAATAATAAAAACTTAATTACAATATACATGCAGTATATTTACTCTCGGTTACAAAAAATATCCCAAATTTTGTGTGATTTTGAGGAAATTATCCATTTGGGACATTTTTTGATACACCCTGTATATGCATTACTCAACTAAGGGACTGGTCATTATTTATGGCGGGGGTGGCACCGA